GAAAGACTGGATGAGCCTTGAAAAGGCCTCGGGTAGCTCCAGCTTGTAAGCAACCGAACCCACTTTCTTGAGAACGGTGAAAGGACCCTCGTATCTGCGCATGAGACCCTTGTGTAAACCACGGCTCCGACCATGTTCATAAAGCTTTACCAAGACTTGGTCGCCTTCTTCAAACTCGCGACGGGTCCGTTTCTTATCCACCCATTTCTTCATGCGCGCGGCCGATTTCTCCAAGTAGAGTTTTGCCTCGTCGGCCCGTTCTTGCCAATCTTTGGCAAACTTGTATGCGGGTGGGCTATTGCCCTTGTAGCCCCCAAGAATGTCCTTAGGCGTAGTCGGTTGGAAACCAAGGACAATCTCAAACGGACTTTTGCCCGTGCTCTCACTCCGCATCAAGTTATAGGAAAATTGGGCAACGTCTAGCAAATGTACCCAATCTTTCTGGTTGGCTGCCACATAGTGCCCGAGGTACACCTCCAAGAGGCCGTTGATGCGCTCTGTCTGCCCATCTGTTTGCGGGTGCAAAGATGTAGACATCTTGAGCTCTGTCCCAAGCAAACAAAAGAGTTCTTGCCAAAAACGGCCGGTGAACCTCGAGTCCCTGTCGCTTATGATCGATGTAGGCAGCCCCCAATACTTCACCACATGCCTAAGAAAGAGTTTGGCCGTTATCTCCGCGGTGCACTCTTTTGGGGTGGGAATGAAGACCGCATACTTAGACAAACGGTCTACCACAACAAGTATGTTGGTGCAACCCTCGGAAACGGGCAGGCTCACGATGAAATCCATCGAAACGCTGTCCCACGGGCGTTCCGGAATAGGCAAGGGTGATAACAAGTCATGCGGGTGGTCTTGCTCGGTCTTGTCTTGTTGGCAAACTAGACAAGTCCTTACATACGTCTCCACGTCTTCCCGCATGCGAGGCCAATAGAACCGTTCATGGACTAAGGCAAGTGTGCGATGCATACCTGGGTGACCCGCATAACGGCTATCATGGCAATCCCTTAGAATCTCCCTTCTAAGTCCATCCCATGCAGGCACGTACAAACGGTTCCCCTTGGCATAAAGTATCCCATCCTCAAGCCAGAACTGTGTTGTCTTGCCTTCCTTCACGAGCTCCATGAACCTTTGGGCTTGACGGTCGTGCTCAAGACCCTTCTTGATGCGATCAACCAGCGTCCCCTCGGGTATGCTAATGATTGGAGCAAGACACGCCTTTCGGCTTAGGGCGTCGGCCACGTGGTTAGTCTTCCCCGGGCTATACTCAAGCTCATATTTAAACTCGGCCAAGAAGTCCAACCAACGCGCTTGCTTGCTTGAAAGCTTAGGTTGGCTTTGATGGTAGCTCACTGCCCGATTGTCCGTCTTGATCTTGAACGGTGTGGCGGCCTTCAAGTAATGCTCCCAAACTCTAAGGCAGTGAACTATAGCCAACATCTCTTTCTCGTGCGTCGGCCACCTTTTCTCGGTCTCATTCAGCTTGCGACTTTCAAAGGCGATCAGATGACCATCTTGCATGAGAACGCCCCCAATGGCGAAGTCCGAAGCGTCCGTGCACACCTCGAATGGTTTCTCAAAATCAGGGAGAGCTAGGACTGGCTCTCGAGTGACGGCGTCCTTTAAAGCCTCGAACGCTGTTTGGTGTTTTGGTGTCCAACACCAAGCTTGCCCCTTTTTCAAGAGATCCGTTAGTGGAGCGGCTATAGCGGAGTGCCCTTCAATAAACCGCCGATAGTAATTAACAAGCCCCAAGAACGATCTCAGCTCCATTGGCTTCGTGGGTGCCTCCCACTCCACGATAGCTTTGATTTTGGCTGGATCCATGCGGATTTTGCCCCCACCAATGATGTGTCCCAAGAACGACACCTCCTCAAGGCCGAAGGAACACTTCTCCCTTTTAACATAGAGCTGGTTTTCCCTAAGGACTTGAAAAACGACTCTAAGATGCTCCACATGCTCCTTCATTGTGTTACTATAGATAACGATGTCGTCCAAGTATACTACAACGAACTTATCAATGAAATCCGCTAGCACACGTTGCATTAGAGTGCAAAACGTGGCTGGGGCGTTAGTTAAACCGAACGGCATAACAAAAAACTCATAAGAGCCATACCTCGTCACCATGGCCGTTTTCGGTTCATCACCGGGTACTATGCGTACTTGGTAGTATCCCTTCCGCAAGTCTAGCTTGGAAAAGATCCGTGCCCGTTGCAGCCTGTCGAACAACTCTGCTATAAGTGGGATAGGGTACTTGTTCTTCACGGTTAGTTTGTTTAACGCCCGATAGTCGATGTACAAACGTAACGTCCCATCTTTCTTGCGTTAGAATAAGGCCGGCGAACCCCACGGACTTTTAGACGACCTTGCATGACCCGATTCAAGTAGCTCCTTGATTTGCACCTTGAGCTCCTCTAGCTCGCTAGGGGACATGCGATAAGGCACCTTGGCTATCGGTTTCGCCCCGTCCACCAACTTGATGGCATGATCAACCTCCCTCCTTGGTGGAAGACCTTTGGGCAAATCGTCGGGCATCACATCCTTGAACTCAACAAGGACTCGCTCTATGGGAGGCGGGATTCGTTCCTCCTTTGCCGGCTCCTCTGTGCATGGTTCCTCCTCAAATACCATGGCGGCAAAGGTGTGTTCACCCCGTTTTAGTCCCTTGTTCAGCTGGGAAGGGCTAATCTCATTTTCCCGTCTAAACTTTACCACACAAGGCTTCTCGCCTTGGAGGATCACCATCGTGTCGTTGCTAGGCACGATGATCGGCTTTACCTGGTCTAAAAACTCCATACCAAACACAAGACCATAATCATCCATAGGTGCAATGGAGAAATTAGCCGTACCTGACCAGTTGCCGATTTTAAGAGGCACGTCTCTTGCTTCGCTCACAAGACCTGTCCATTCGCCATTCACACCCTTGAAACGGCCTTTGCTAGGTGTCCACTTGACTCCAAGCGTATGGGCTACCTCTTCCGTGAGATAACTCGTATCGACCCCCGTGTCTAGCATGCCCCATCTAGACCCGTTTGTGAACGATGCCTCCATGTAAAGACGGCCTTGACGTGTCTCGGCCTTGGCATGCACGGCGTCTAGCCGTTTCATGCGAGCGACCTGTTTCTCCTCTTCTTGGCACAAACCTTGCGCCAATGCTGCCAACTTCGAACGAGACGGGCAATCACGTGCCATGTGCGCTCCCCCGCACAAGAAGCACCCTTGAAACTTCTTTGGCTTGTCCCCCTTGGTCTCCTTGCTCGAAGACGGCTTTGTGGAGTCGGCTGCCGGTTTCGCGGGTGTGGAAGACTTCCCTTTGTCTCCCCCACCTTTGCCTTGGAACGGCTTCTTGCCCTTGTCTTTGGAGCTATCCTTCTTTTGGAACTCAACAAGCGACTCGGCCACCTTTAACGCCCGATCGATGTCCTGGACTTCTCTCCGTTGTAGCTCAAGTTTAGCCCAACGGTTGAGACCGTCCATGAAAGTAAAGAACGCCTCCTTGGGCGAGAGATCCGGAATTTCAAGCATCAAGTCCGAAAATTCCTTAACGTATTCCCGGATTTGGCCTTCCCTATGGTGCAGACGACGAAGCTTGGCCCGGGCTTCGTCTTTCGCATCCACGGGTAGGAAATACTTTCTAAACTCTTCCTTAAAACCATCCCACGTGGTGAAGACCGAGTCTCCATCCCCCACGGGTTTCATCATACGTTTCCACCATGATAAAGCACTATCTTTAAGATAAAGAGAGGCTTGGAAGAGTCTTACCGAGTCATCCATGATATTCATAGCCCCAAAGTACCGTTCCATGCTATAGAGAAAGTTCTCTACGTCCCTCAAGCGATGACTGCCCTTGTATTCGTCCGGCTTGGGCGCTTCAAGCCTTGGAACCGTCCCCACGGCTCCGGTTGTCCCTTTCACGGCCACGGCGTCAAGCCGTGCCTTAAGACGCGCCGATTCTGCCCGAGAAGTCTCCAGCTCCCCCATAAGTCGGCTGACGTCGTCTTGGAGGGCGGCAACGCGAGCAAGGCTTTCCTCCTTCGACTTGTTGCAACGTTCCACCATTTCATTGAGCGTCCCTAGCATGTCGTCCTTCATTTGCTGCATGACCTCTTGCAATTCCCCTGCGAATCGCTCCATGCGAGCTTCGACGACCCCCGCTACCACCTCAGGGTGTTCGTCCCAACGGTCTTGGTGGTCGGCCACAGCAAGCTCTAGCTTGGCAAGCTGTTTCTCGAATTCCACCATCGGCTCCCTAACGACCGACTTCTCCTTGCGGCTTCCTTTGCGGGTGGTCCTCCCCACCTCGCGGGAAACGTGATCCCCCTCAAGCTCCGATCCTTGAACGACCTCCGAAGGATTGGACATAGCTTATGCACGAAAGAAAACCAACAAACGGAAGCGTAGACGATGTAGCACACCAAGTATCGAGCCGAGGCTCGATACCAATCATCACGGGCTTACTTTTTCAAAGTAACGGCCGTGCGGCACTAGCACAAAACAACTAACGATCAAGTGCTAGCTCACCTTAAGACCCCAAAGCATGCAAAGCTAGGCAAGACTTTAAAGAACGGAGGCAAAGAAAAACTTAAGAAAGGTTGAAAGTGAAAGAACGATGAAAGCAAGAGAGAAGCAGGAATCTTGAGAACTCTACTCAAAGCTTGGATGGATTACAAATGAAGGGGGCATGGGGTATTTATAGGCAAACCCCAAGTCCTAAAGAATTCTAGAGAATTCTATGTACATAATAAAATAATGGAATTCTAAAGAATTCCTACAATAAAATATTCTAAGTTCAAAATATCTACAAGTCTCTAGAATCTTCCACACGGTTCTAGCAAACTCGGGTAGCTTCCACACGGTTCTACCCGTTTCTAGAAAGTTTCGGACCTCTCTAGAAAATTCCAGAGTCTTCAAGATTTGACCGGAAAATTCCACAAGGCTCTAGACCGTTCCGTCCCATGTCCGTCTACGAAAATAGCCCATTTCGCATCAAACCACCCGAATTCGTGGTGAAGAAAAACTGTCCGTGATACAATTAAAAGACTTTTTTCCTCTCTTTTTTGGTTTAAAAGACACTATGCTATCATCAAGCCAAAATAAGAGTCCTTTTATAGAACTAAGTATGACAAGAAACACGACTCATTTTGTTTACGATAGTAGTTCGAAATTTAGGGCCAAAGCCAAAGCCAAAACTCAAATATATGAAGTTTGGGAATGATACTAGAACAATGTTGCCAATGCCTAAAAACAACTCATTTTTCCATATCAAATATGTGATCATCACTATTCACAGGGAGATTTATGGAACTGTTCATACCAGGTTCTGATGATACATGAGAAATACATCTCACAAATGTACAACAACAGAGTTAACAACTATTTTAGCTATTACCAAAACTGTCCTAACAAACGCCTCGTGGTACCACAGTTTACAAAAACACCCAGGGAATTCTAATCATAATGCACCACCAAGAATCTCGATAGCTGTGATCAATACATCCACTAGGCCATCCAATGAAAAATTTGGGTGAGAGAACAAACTAGTGAACTCTACCAGCAGCAAAAGAATATACTAGTTATCTCAGTCCACAATACCAGGCGAACCAGAGAGCCTTTTGATCTATGTGCAAGCTCTGTATTGTTCATTGTAATACAAAACCTCTACTTGTAAAGTCAAAGAAACCAGCACGGTGAGACCTGTCCGCCTATCAGTGAGTATATATTTGCCATCAAGACTGACTGACATAAAGTACAGGCACAAGTCCAGCCATTTTCCCATCCCTGCCAGGGCGTTTTTTCTTCACCTGTAGTGATGTGTAATATACAATGCTTTAGCATAGAAAAAGTCAGATACGAAAGTCTCGCGTAACTAAAGGCAGCCTATTGAAATGAATTAGAAACAATGCGTGTTAATATTGTATTTTAGGTAAATGCGCACACAAAGAACCAAAGCAGTTATATTATTCCTATACCAAAGATCTTGGAGCCAAGATTAGATCTTATACTCACACAACGCTTGGTGATAAAGTTTTAAGTATGAAATTAACTAGCAATTGTATGTATATCTAAAATCATGCACATTTTGTCCGAGTGTACCATTTAGAGAAGTGTTGCTAAATGCGTAAGTCTATCTAGCTCAGAGCATCAGAAGATAGTTGCTCTGGGCCACCACACTTTAACATGAAATGAAGCAGCTTCAACAAAAACACTAACACAGAGATCCAGTAAAGCAGTATCAAATCATTTCTTTACTGGTAGTACCCTATCTGGGGTCTTCCCAAAGAATAATTCACTTACATAAAACCAGCCATCTACTTCATATTCGATCTCAACCTCTTCTCCAGATGTTAGATTCAACTGCAGAAAACAAAACAAAAATCAATCCAAAATTTTAGAAAAAGACTACGAAACGAAATAACATTATAGCAAATAGCTTTGAAACAATAACTGGTCATGAAGAGATAAGACTAGCAATGTATCCCAAACAAAGAGAGGAACAAATTACTGCAAGACTTTTGTAATCTATTCAGACTACTTTATGTTTTCATTTTCACCATCCATCAGCATGATATGATACATACCTCATCATCACCACCAGCAGTGAAGTCATAAAGTGCAGTCCCATGTTGTCGACTACCAGAAGAGGATTGCTCATCATCCCGTGATCCAAAGCCTTGAGAACCACCAGCTAAGGGATTCTCAAATGACTCATACCTATCGGGAGAAGAATATGGAGGAGGTTCCTCCCTTATCTGCAACAAAAAAGCATCAAATTATAGACCGAGACACTATGTACTAATCAGTAGCATAGAAACCTAAAACACTGCAGACAACAATACTATGATGCATATTGATTGGAATTAAATATCTGTTATGGAACCATATGATAGTTTAGGTCAGAGTATCATGTTAAGAATGTAAAGCAAAATAGGCGCGGCCAAAAACCACAATCAGCAAATAAGGTCCCAAAAAAAAAAGCCACCAGATTTTTCGACCCAAAAGAAACCACCGAAAACTATGAATAATTCAGTCACAATAACCAATGAAGATTACCAACTCCATTTTACAAGTCTGTCCTGAAATCACTCAAAAGTTGTGTTTTTTTCTCTGTCATAGCTAATACAATCTAAATGTTTGAAAAGGATGCAAGCAACATTGGAGCTATGACTTCGATAAATTAAGCATGACAACAACCAGAACCAAGATAGCAAAAGAGACCGAACCGGAGAACTGAAGCCCGCGTATGTGTTATCACCATAGGAAGGATTACTCATTCTACTTCCACCAGCTCGTTCCTGTTGAACAAATGAAATGGAAACAATAAGGTTTTCAAACTATCTATCTAAGTCCATTTCCCATAGAGATAATACAGGTTAATAGAAACTTCTAGGTGTATACTCGAAAGCTGCGAGTATGAGTTAAACTTCAAAGAGAAACTAAAGAGCACATAACTGAATCCAAAAATTTAACTAAACAAGATTATGGAAAAATCAGTTAAGTACATAAAGTAAAACAATGAGAAAGAATGCAACTCTTTTCTCAAATTCAACCGTGCAATCAAGAGGTTAAGGCTCGAAACCAAAACAACAAATTAATTTCATATGGTATCTTGAGTAAATAACCCGCATGAGGTTATATGTTTCTCCTCAACTTTCGGTTATTAATAATATATAGGGGTAATTTGAGGTGATTTCAAGTATGCTTCAACATGATAACATAGGTCAATGGCAAGAAAATAGCAGCCTAACTAACTTCTTTCAGTTTTTTACCATCAAACTGACCACAAGCTTGACAGTAGCGTAGGCTAGGAAATAACAGGCTTATCACCTTCGCCAAGCTCAATAGTGTTGCACAATATCTTGCAAATAACCTTTATTTCTCAACATAAAGAAATCGTGATTACTTTAAAATATATATTTAGAAAAAACACATATTGTATAGAAAAACTAATAGCGGCAATTTCTTCAGAAGTTAGGTATAGTTGTATAGATTGTAGTTGCTAGTTGTCGTGCAGGCTTGTAATGAGGAGCTTGATTATCAAGTTTGTGTTGTTTCTTTGATTTCTCTTTGTGATGTAATAGTGATAGAGGTCAAACAATTTTGTGTAGAGCAACTTTGAGGTTTTTGAGAAATATGTTTACCATGCACAGAAAAAAGAATGACTGAAATAATTCAAAATTATCAACCACACCATCACAAGACCATTAGTAATGCATAAATACAACTGTCCATAGGATGAGAAAACAGAAGGCTCCACCATAACAAACAATAGCGATTACATGAACTTTTTATTCTTTTCTCTTTTTATCCAATCAATCTATAAACTCCAAAATGACAGCTGCACATGCACGGTGTGTATTTGGGAAGTGGGCAATCCGCCAAGAAATTTCAGACGCAAAAAAAACCCAAAGGCAACTTTATCACCTTTCATGGACCTCATTAGTGCTAAGGAATCTCATCATACTAATTCATCAAAATTTGCTAACAAGCAGAAAGTTCCAAATTTTATTAGTGCTAAGGAATCTCATCATACTAATTCATCAAAATTTGCTAACAAGCAGAAAGTTCCAAATTTTGGACGAACAAAAAGCAAAAAATTCTTGTTTGCTCAACTCTAAAGACACCCAGGTAATTTTCAAGATAACTGAACTTAAAAAACCTATCTGAACAAATCTATAGCGTTACCTGTGAAGACCCATAAGCGGATGGCTTTGAGCTGAACAACGATGGATAATTCATTCCACCAAAGTGGGATGATATGGATGTCTCAACCGATCCGATCGAGTCAGGAGAAGAAGAGCCAGAAGACCGTCCATCCTCCTGTTATATTAATTTAAAGCCACAGTGATTATTACTACCTCAATAGATTTAACATTTTTTGCAGGAAAATATCATCATAAAAGGGATACGATGCAAAACATTTCAACAAGTATAACAAACGGGAAGAAACCTCTAGCTCTGATGACTCCAAAAGAGTCTTGGCCCACATATCATCATAACTCATGGAATGTCTTGATGTAATGTTCTCTTCCTCGACGTCAGGAGCATCAGTACCAGCACCAGCAAGGAATTCATTCACCTGGAATATAAACACACCAATCAACTCTTAATCGAAGGGGACATGAAGCAGCCACAAGTAGTAAAAGGTATATGGAATAAAAAAGTGATGTTCCAGCTTCAAGAAGGATGCCACATTAGTGCCAATTCCAAAATGTGTGCCTGTGAGTGTCTGCACGCACGCGTGCGTGTGTGTGTGAGAGAGAGAGAATCAATCCAACATGTCCCATTGCAAAGATGCAGTATTTGCAATCATTCCAAACTATCTAAGAAAGCAAAATAAGAAAAGCCTGGCTAAAAGAATGGAAAACCTATTAATCGGAAACTAGCACCAGAAAAAAAAATAAAAAAAACTAGCACCAGAGACCAAAACAATGTTAATTTATACAATACATTACCGAAGTTCCCTGGCATTCCAAAAGAGGCAGACAACCTATGCCTAATAATAGTGTGGGTTAAAATTAGCATATATTTGTTTCTAAGGGTGCATACGCATGTATGTGTAATTACATATAGAAGATTCATTACCCGACTCATTGCAGGAGCGCTGCTTCCTAGCAACCCATCATCACCAAGACTTGTAGCCCATGCATTAACAAGGTCATCATCAAGTGAGTCAGGCTCAGCAGGAGTTGGTTTGGATGTTTCATACAGTAGATCAGAAATCCCAGTGGCAACTGCAGGATCACTGAGGCCCGTTGACGCAGTTATATTATGCCGAGTGCGGTAGATGTCAATAAGCTTCGCACTGCCAAAATCAAAAAACCAAAAAACCTACCATGTAAGCAAAATTTTAAAAGTAAACTAAGCAAAATCTTTTTCCCCTTCAAAACAAATGAGGTCAGCACAATCAGCGCCAATGGGGACATTAAACTTATAGAAATTTACCTGGTCGGCCCTAAAGGAAGATACTTTGTCCTTGGCACATAACAAAACAGGGATACAAGATCTAACAGTCTCTCATGTGTTTCATATAATTTCTTAAGCTCCTCATCCGTCCATTCCTTTTTTGCATTGTCATGGTTCCGCATCTCCCTGAAGTATGATGGTCAAAATTGCATTAAAAAGTCAAGGGATGAAGCAATCATAATATTCAGTAGAGTGTTCTTACTTTATCAGCTCATCTTGTGAACTGTACATTTCATCAAGGACCTTCAACATTGGACTTAATAAAGATCCGAGGCCGGTACCACTGGCACCCTGATCTTCTCCATTACTTATATGCATATCAGCGAATTGGGACTGCACACCGCCTTGTGATAATGCATGTAAAAACTCATAGATCTGTACCCTGTAAGGCTCACCAGATCTAATTGCCATCGTAGTAAGAGCTTGAGCAGCAATTATACGAACCTGGAAGCAAGAGATAATACCGAGGCCTCTTAACACAAACTTATGTGATAATTGTTTTTCGAATTCAGTATGACAAGTAAATGGATACTATTCATAAATGTAGACCACAGCAGGTATAAATTATACCAGTAATTAGATCTACCTGATCATGTGAAGTTACACTTGAGATTAACAAAATGAAATTAAATTGTAAGTACGAAGCAACTTACAAGTGAAATAGAAATGGAAAATATCTTAATAAGGTTACCAGACGATGTGACGTATTAGCACATAAACAATGAAATTAGGTCACATTAATTTGCAAGAGGATGGTACAAAAAGCAGATGAAAATGCTTTAGGAATGTCCACACCAATAGGTGCCAAAGAACATAAACCTCGGAGTGTTACATGAAGGATGTCAGTTTTTCCAAATTTATAATGGTTAAACTTAACAGTGGGTGGCATTACACAGAGGCAGAAACTTTAAGAATGGAGCACACCCAGGCCAGCTGGTAAAGATGCAGAAAAGAGAAGAAGTGGTGCAATAGTCTTAAAATCCCGTAAGATAGCTCGAGTTAGAGTTGACAATCCAGAATCAGGAATTCCAGAGATAAGTTACAACCAGACTAGCAATTGTAGAATGTAAGTCTACCAAATAGTTTCTATGTGTCAACAGGGTAAGCTACACTAAACACCAGATATTTGGGTAGCAGCCCTATTCGCATGCTCCAGTAAAACACATCATGCTCCATAATCTAGGAATCAAAAACTTTGGTTTTAGATCTACAGACCTGAAAACTTATTTGGTGTCGAAAGCAGATTCTAGCATTCATTATCAATCAATTCCGTTACATCATGCAGTGAAATTGAGAAATCAAAAAGAGAAGCAGATCTTCAGGGGGAAACGACAAGTCCCTGAGCCTTAGTCATCAAACTGACATTTATTAAACAGTATTTGATCAGAAGATATACCTCCCAGCTCCCACTGAAAGCACATCTTTGCAGACGGGTCAAAGCGCCAGCAAGAGTTGGATTCCGAGAACTTGCGGCAGCAACCATTTTGTCGGCATCTAGCATCATCAGTGCAGTACCAGGAGGGGTAGCTGATTCCCAAGCATACTCGGAGGCAGCATAATTTGCATTTTCCCCGAGGAACCAAACCTGCAATTGCATGAAAAAGGCTTGAAATTTGAACCAATTCCCATTAGAGACAAAATTGAACCATCTCTTAAACCAAAGGATACAAATTAATTTCTTTTACCGCTGCCTGTACTAAGCGCTGCAAAGCCAAAGCAGACTTCGGATCAGATGCAGACACGGTATCTATTGAGGTAGACGTTGAGCCAGGTAGGGGAGGTGGTAAATCAAGCACTAACGTGACAGCTTCCAAAGCTGTATGCTTTCCTTCTGGGCCAGCTCCAACTAGACAAGTCTACGGAGAGCAAAACAAAACTTAGAATACAACAATTAATTACAAAAGAAAGTGATCTGCCATCTAAAGAGTTGGAAAATAAGTTGTGGAAGGAGAAAGCCAGAAACAAGCTCAAACATAAATGAAAACAAATCACAGCATATTTTTTCCTAAGACCAACGGATTATGATGCCAAAAAGAAGAAATTCAGAACTACATCAGAAACCAAACAAAAGGGTAAAAAAAAAATGAACAAAAAGAAGAAGAAGAAAGCTAAAGTTAAACCCTCAGACTGTACCATTACCTTTCCTCCAAACAAGAATCTTGCCAAGTGGATTTTTGTAATTCAACTAAGATACAGAATCACCAGCCTCACTTGGAACATAACTTCACAATTTGTAACTCCGCATTTAATGCAAAAAACTTTAAAAACCACGCAAAACCGCAGACATCAGCAGAGAAGAGCTACGACACAATGAAATATATTTCACTAAGTGGGGTATTTCACTAGAGAACACAAACATAGATAGGATGCCTACATCATATGTTGCATGCCTTCATAAGAAGATTCAAAGCCACCAAACAAATTCTTAATGCTGCTTTCAGTTTTCCAGCTATTTCAGTTTATAATCTTCAGTCCCACCAAGAGATATTCCTATTCACTTATCTAATGTGAAAAAGTAAGACATATGGGGCACTGGAGTTCTAAGGATGACGACTGCAATTACTCATTACACGGAAGTTGGCAGTATTCCAGTTGAATAAAAGATGTTAAACAAGATACTCCCTCAATCCTCAAAAAAATAGCCCACGTTGAGTTTTGAGATTTGTACTATGTGGACTATTTTTTTGGGACAGAGGTTGTATATAACAATCATTGATATGAATTTATCCCAGACATTCAAGAATACTTGCAGATAATCTCCTACAAGAATATTAATGACATCTAGCAACTAGGACCCACCCCAAAAGTCCGTCCTGCCCTGTCTGTTACAGAGCCATGATCCAGCCACTAGAACCTTATTAAAAATGTAAACATTTTTACAATGGCTTCAAGCCACTCCCACTATTACTACACCTGAAGCATGTACAGCGCAGTTTGGAGCACAGCCTCCAAGTTATCAACCCAGTCAAACTCTCTACTTCATCTATGTTACATGAACAAGAATACAGGATTCAAGTTTAGGTGCAGATTTAAGTGTTAGATCGTGCCAACAAGGAGTTGGATCTGGGTTTGAGGATACTGCAGATGCCCACAGTAAAAATAGTTGTACTGTGAATAAGTGGTGAAAGCAATAAAAGATTACTGTTTTTAAATTAACTTTAAGGAGTTAAACAGATGAAGAAGTAAATTTAGCGATCCCAATGCTAATGTATCAAAATAGGGAGTCATTGTGTCCCTTTCTCTTTTATCTCTTTCTTCTTCCTTCAGCCCTCTTCTCTTCTTCCCCTCTTCTTTTCCACATCTTTTATCCATGACCTTCTCATCCGCCTATTTATTCGATTTGTTTTCTTTCAATACCACTCTTCCCCGTCTTATATTTTTAAGTGTCCTTTATCTTCCCAGTTTTTCACTTTTCAACCCTTCCAAAATCCTCTAATCACATCCATAGTTTCTATAGGAATATCCGTACAGGCATAGTATGGAAAGTCTTCATAAAATAGGCATTCATTGCCCAAGAAAATTAAAACAAAAACAGTGAAGCACACTCGAGGCATGTCACGACCACCTAGAACACTCCACATAGAGTTTTTAAACATTGCTGACTTGCACAATTTATGATTCCCATATTGTTTTATGCAACCACTGGTGAATTGAGTGACATAATAATAAAAAACAGAGAAATCAGCAAATTATAGAAACAATGAGTAATTGAGATAAATGACCTCCATTCTTATTCAAACAACCCACTAATACTTGCATAGAAAAACCCACCTAATAATCCCCAAAGGATCGCAAGGTCACTGACTAGTCTCTAATAGTTGCAATTGTAGACATATATCAATCATGGTTACCATACACAGATCTCAAGCAGCAAGGACTAAGTGGTAAACCAACAAGATTAAACATGACTGCAGTTGGGATAGAAAACAACCAAATCTGACTAGTGAATATGAAAGTTATTTGATTTTCTCTCTAACCATCATCAGTTTTTTAACTATTCCTGAACTATCTTATTAACCTTGCCAAAAGTTCAAAAAACACAATCACTATATTTCTACCATAGAGGAAGCAAAATAAAAATAAACATAAAAAGGATGAAGTGTTAACCTACTTTCCACAATAGTTGGAGTACATCAGCATCAATCTTGCCAGGAACTTTAGTGGCAAACACCCTGGCAATTTCAAGAAGAGTAACGGCCATATCCGGAGTAGCCTGGAAAGCCAAAAAAAGACGCATAAATATGACCCCAGTTACTGGAGAGTAACAAGAATATCCAACAAGTTTCATGGAATAGGTGAGTGTATATATACATTTATTCACTCATTCAGTTGCATATCCACAGTGTCACAGCTTCGACTTGTTCTTCATATAAAGTAACATGCAATCTACTATTCACCTAGATTAATGCTCTAGTGAAAAAATAAAAATAAACAATTCCAAGTTCTTCAAGAGTGAAACCTATCTTTGATACCCAAACAGTCTATAGTCATTTTTGAGAACCACATCTGCAGTATAGACTAACTTATAATGCTAAATACATTAGCATAAACGAAAAAATGCAGCATATATGATCAAGAATAAAGAATGCGATAACAGAAAGATCACACTGATCTGATAGCCATATAATTAAGTGTACCACTGTAACTTAGAGGAAATTAAAGAACACCAGAACTCATTTCATCAAATTTCCCAGTTGCTATGACACATACCTTAAAACGTGCATGCAGTGTAAGCAATATGTCATTCAATAAAGTTGCTGGCCAGGCAGGATCAGAGAGTTCTGATGCTATAATGGACTCCAGTTCATCAAAAGATTCACTTGGACTTTGCATCCATATCAGGGCTTTTATTACCATGGCACGAACATAAACACATTCACATGCAACAGTGGTTCGCACCACCTCCATTAGAGAAGCTAAGAGACCGGCAATTGTGTCCTTGCCACTCGTTCCATTGGATATAGAGGATACCCGACGTAAGCCTAACAAGAAGAATGATAGACAGGATGAAACTTCAATCAATAGAGGTAAAGCATGCTCGTCAAGCAGACAAAGCCCCTACAGAGTATAGAGTGTTCATGCTGGAAAATAAACATCGTATGTAAGTGGTTATGTACGTTTCTATTCCTTAATTATATTCAGTAATTTGGCTTAGTATATAGCAGAAATTCATTCATAAATTATATATAAATATATGACATTCTCAAACAGGAAAAATGTGACCGTGAAAAGCTAATACATACAATAAATCCACCCAAAAGAAGTACAAAAATTCAGAGCACCTAGGGGGATTGGCAAGAATTTCCAATCAACCAGATGACTGAAATTGTTGTTTCAATTAATCTAGAAATCTGTTTGATACTTATCACCAAAGTCCTCAAACAACGCAAAGGAAGATTTTAACTGAAGAAGAATCAGATGGAAGAAGCTAACAATGTGCAACAATTTCACCATAACAATTTGCAGATATATCTGTAAAGAGATACATGCATACATGTGCAACAAATCAGGTTTTGCAAACAAAAAATAATCCACAATAGAATAACAATTCTATGGAGAAAAAAGATTGACACGCCGCCTATGCTGAGTAATACCCACAAGACTGAAACATGTCACGAGAACAACATTAATGAAGACTGGAATAAAGACCAACATTCTCACTTTCATGACAACAAAAATGGATTCTGATGTTTAGATCAGAGAAACTCGAGCACATATAGGGACAAACGAGAACCAGGAAGGCATAGAACTGCTACCCTCAGCTGTTTCGTTCAAATCTTGATCATCATTACTTTCAGCGAATGAATTAATATGAACCCCTTCATCTATGTCCTGTAACCCAACAGCAAAAGCAGCTGCACGGGATTTTCCCATTTCCTGCACAACCCTCGCAGCTGCATGAAGTACAGGACGAGAGAAACTGCGGAAAGAACTTTCCAACCTACAAAAGCAGTGGGAAAATCTTTTACGAGGATGTACAATATAAAATGAAACACATACAAAAAATAAAAATTAAAAATTAAAAAAAAAAAGAAAAGAAAGAGAAACACAAACAAAACAAGAAAAGTTCTAGAACCTCCTCATAACAAGTTTGATTAGTGGTTGAGGGCGTCTTGTCTTTGAGGACTTATCCTTGGAGCTCTTTGGTGGAGCATTATCTTTTGATTCAGATTTTGTATCCTTCACAGATGGTGCCTCAGGAAGCTTAAGAATCTCTCTAGTTAGACGATACCATCCAGCAGCACGTTCATCAGTTCTGCACAAAGTTATCCAACAGACAATATTTCAGAGCAAGCAAATAAAAGGATTTTAACAGATTCCTCAGAAAATGCTCATTAAAATACCGAGGAAATGACAAGTAAAGAACTGGCTTTCACCTCTCTGCATTGTCATGTTTACCCAATACACAAAGAATGGCCTCATAGCAAACCCTTTCACTGGGATCCAGAAGGAGTTGATACAGCACCGAGCTAAATTGGGACCTAATATCTGGCCGATCTGCATGAAGCATTTGAAACATTATCGGTCTTTCCGAAATAGATCTGTGATACAATAAAAGAATTCTCACACCAGAACTAAAGAACGCAATACATGCAGCAACAACTTTAGCATTTATCCTACTATATGAGGTCGGCTAAAACACAAATTTTCATTCAAACACAAATAATTCATGCATTTCATAAAATTTCATTTCTACTTTTTCGGGGACTTATCTTTCCCTTTTATTGGAGATAACAATTATGTCATTTCTACCCATTTTACTTGGGGTATCTAAAGGTCTCCTATGTGCATGCCTGAACCACCATGATTCTCTCATTTTCTCATCTATCAGTTCTACACCCATCGTTTCTAAATGCATTCACTACTTATCCTATCTAGCCTGGATCTCCTTTCTGCTAACTAACTAATTTACTTGTTTTTAAACTTGATGGTCCAGCATCGTGACCTGATCAGCTAAGCACCTTTGATCGAAAAAGTTCTAAATGGCCAGATTTGAAAACTGAAAGTAACGGATTTACATCCAACTGAACATACCATCCAATGATCGGGCTCTAGAGATTGTGTGGCATAACCTGGCAAGTGCAACTCTTGCTAGAACATCATGTAAATGAAGAACATCTTGCAGAGCACCTGTTTCAAACAAATTCTTCAGATTGAAACTAGCACTAGTGGGCATGCAGGAAAAAACCATAAAAAAGGAATCATAGAACATACCACCGGGTTGAGCGGATTTTCCTGTCAAAAGAAGATTTCAGATGTTTAAGATCAGCTTCCAAGAAGAAAAAAAAGTACAAGAGAATATACTTCACATGAAATGACAGAACACAAATATAATATACAAAACTCAGTTTCAACAATTCAACGGAAAAACAGTCAAAAACTCTGTTTTATTTAACTTTTCAATTTTGGACCTTTTATTCTCATTATAGAGGGAACTTTTTCCTAGGAAGTCTAGAAAAAAATGCAGTAAAAAGGACAAAATATTAGAACTAGGTCAAGAAAAGAATTGGAGGGAAAGAAAAGCTTATATTTGAATGTGAACTTTTAAAATGGAAATCTACGATTGAATTTTTTTGACAAATTTGAGACTCCGTTTACCTAATGCCATGGCAACAGCATATGGATCACTAGTCGCAAGCTCCGACAGAATTTCCAAAGAATGTCTTACAGCAACAGGATCAGAAAAGGAGACTCTGCAATCTCATAGAAAACCAGAAAAGTAATAAATTATCTGGATATGACTGCCATTTTACTAAAAAGTTCCCTGCCAGTCAGGCGGGAATTCATTTCTCCAACAAAAGACGAGATTTAAAATATGAATAGTTGCTTTTATCAACAGTGGGTTAGTGGTTAAGTGGGAAACTAAGGGAACAATTAAATTGACCCACCCTTGTACAGCACGATGAAGAAACGCTGGATTCCCCGGATCAAGAGGAAGTCTTCTCAGAGCACTTATGGCAGCATATTGCAAATTTCCCCGGATGATTGACTACAAATTAGTTGGATGAGCAGATCAGAAAAATGTAAATTAACATTCCAGAAAAGTATGGTTTAATATCAAGAATTTTGTTAGCACAATATAAATATCCATTGTAGTATCGGAGAAGTTCCCCGATGAGCTTATAACAAATCGAGATGCCTCTGATTGGGCTTTTTTTACTCACTTATACAAGTTCTAATGACAAAAATCAAAAGATATTGTTTACCCTTGCAGTACTACTCATGATCAAGAAATTGTGTATCTAATGCCCTCTCAGTAAAGAAAGCTATCCAATGCAAAAAAAATCCGATATTCTATCAAATTTGGGACGGATTAACTTCATATGTATTCACGAATGCTTCTCTTCCTTGTTCTAGACAAAAAAAATTGAATCACTCATCAAACTTTTAACAACCTAATACCAGAAAAATATCCAGTAACCTGAAATTTCATTCCTTCACAGAGCGACATGGAAGTTTATTTTTTAGATGGACCCATGCAAGAGGTCAAGAAACAAGAAGCACTAGCATAGTTCAGAAGCCATAGGATACATCTAGAGATGATTTATGTAATTTTTACTCTATAAATTAATGTAAATAATCAATTTAGACAAACTTAACAAGTGCAAAATATACTGAGAAAACAAAAGTAATAACCAAAAAAAGAAAATGGACTGTGCATAAAAATTGATTCAGCAAAAGATACCTCTTTGTCAGCTCCTTTTGTTCCAAAGATGCCTTTCTTTCGTTTCTGAGGGTCAGCAACCTGCAAAGGAACAGCAAGCCATTATTTCAAGGTTCTCGTTCTACAACTGTAAATTAGAGTCAAAATTACAATGATCTGACTTAGAAAAATAAATAAATAAATGCAAAAGCTTGACTAGTTTTCATAGCAAAATGAAGCGTGTCTAAATCACTTAGATATCTGTGTCACGAGACTTTCACTTCAGCTAATATTTTATGAACTCTGTCTTATTTGCCGGGTTGGATGGTATATAAGGCGCAAGTGTGCAGGTCTGGGAACGGCATGTCCATTAAGGCATCATGAATGCAGCCGGACCTAAATTTCCACAATAGGCTGTTTCCATGACTTGAATATGTGATCTTATTTCACAAAGAACACGCCATTCCATCCAAAGTCCACTTTCATATTATTTGTACAGAACTGTCTCATGTCACATTAACGATCAACTACGGAAAGTCAACAACTAGGAGCAGCATAGACTCAACAACCCATGATAGAGACACTATACTAGCAAGTTTTCTTCCATAAACAACTACCTATTTCACGTAATAATCCTTACTGTGTCTTTTCAAGCCAAACCAGGCACTGGGAGGGCTTTCTATACCCATCAGCATTTTTATTAGTTGCCATTTAGCATAACATCATATGACACACATTCTCCACAAGTTAGCACCATGTTAATATCAACCAAGTGCCTTATTCCCCAGAAACCAAAGCCTTCCCATACTCATGACTTCATTTTGGTAAACTCCCCTTCACAACATTGGTTTCACAAAAAAGTTTCCAAGGATATAGAGATCGAAAAATGTAATAGAAACTAGGGAAAAAGGGAAATACATGAACCTTACAAGAGGGTAATCAAATCCATAGCAACATTCATGTAAATTGTTGCACTACAAAAGTATAGTATCAATAGAGCTTCGAATCAGACAAACCTTATCTAGAATACCAAAGACAATCTCATACAACTTGGATAGAATTTCAGTGTTACTGGAGGGGGCATATGTGAGAGCCTTCAAAGCTTGAATCCTTCGCGCATGAACTTCATAAGGAAATCAAGCAATTAGCAAAGCACAAACACAGAACAGCTGACACCATGGGAAAGAGAATATTATTTGTAACAAATAAACTGACTCTTCTCATGATAACAAGCAGGTCAGAAATATATTATCAACTATCAAAATCCAATGCAAATTCCCATTCTCACTATTATAAACATGGGAAGAAAAAAATGTATTTTCTCGAACCATTTGCAATAATGTTTGAGCTGAAAAAGGAATTCAACTTTACAAAGGAAGCAAGCAAGGGTATTTCATTCATGTGAGAAAGTTAGCCAGGCCAACTGGAGCCATCATGTAGAAGACACAGATAGGGTGAGAAAATGATACAGAACTTATCACACGCACATCTAAGAGAATATTCACAGCTATCTGCCCAAATATAAGATGTAGATTCACAAATGTTGCAACCAGCAGTAGCACAGCCTCATAGGATGGACATCGGAAGAAAAAAGGAACGGGCACAGAAAACTTATCCAGCCATCTACAAACCCAAAAACACTGTAAACTCTAAAGTGAGGTAAGAAACAAAGCATTTTTTACATTCAACATCAGCATTTGAGGCTTCTGCGGAAAGCCGATCTACAATTCCAGGTACAACATCAGCTCGTGTCACCCCTCCTACAGCATCAATATCAGCTAAAGCATCCCAATTTGGGGTGGGAATCCCGCCACCGGAACTCAAACCCTGTGAACCAGTATCTGAAAGAATTCTGGCCAAGTAATAGTACACATAGCGCAAAACAGTTCTATCCTCGCACTGTTGACCAAGCTGCAGCATGCAAGAAGAAATCGAATAATCAAACATACTTTCATTACCGAAAAACAACAATATTAATCAAACAGGTGATAATGCTCACAGATGATAACAATTCAATGTTTCTCCATCATTCAAAAATCTAACAGGGCCAAAGGACTTTAAAAGTCCCCAAAGATCAGCACAAAGATAATGGAACAGACATATCAAACAATCTCATCCTTTCTCTAATGCCAAACAAACAAAAAAAATAATTAGAATTTTGAGCACAATGCAGAAGCTTTTGTCAACAAGGATTCAAGAAGTCAAACTGACTTAACTGTATAAGGTCAGCAAGTATCACTACGACCACGCTGTAGGAGTTTCAAATATAATCAGATGAACATTTGCCACTAATTAAATTCATACAAAAATGCATCATTACCATGAGAAGAGAAGGTGCCAAGGAGGGATCGACAGAATTGTATACAGCAAGTTTGGGGAACACATGATGAACCAATTGCTTCTGGGAGCTTTTCTGCAGGTAACCACCCAAAAGGGGGAAAGAAGGTAAACGCAATAACCTTAACTCATAAAAGAATAACAATAAATCACATAAGCCCCCAAAAAAATAAAAACATTAAAAAATTAAAAAAGGAAGAGAAAAAAAAAGGAGATGAGAAACATACGTACCTGATCAGATGTTGCGGCTAACTCATGAATACTCCTTGCGAGTTGCGCATAAGAAACAGGCTGAAATAGAGAGAAAAAATGAGTGAATTCATTGAAATTCATCACTAGCGGGAAACAGATCATCATTCAACTTGGTTAGAGTATGAACTTAGTTACAGTATGCCTTTTAAAACTAACTTTGTTCTTTTTTATTACTCCTTCTGTCCCAAAATTATTGTCCAGTTTGAGATTTCACTTTTAGTACAATTTGAACTAGAAATGAAAACTCAAATTGGAGAATAATTATGGGACGGAGGGAGTATCTTTTTTATAAAGGTGCAGCTGCTTTCAATTAGCTTAGATCATGTTAAAATTGGAATTGCTGACTGTACTATCTGATCACATCACTACATAACGCCTATTCTAACACAAAACCAGATCAAGTACAATAAGGAACAAAATGCATTCTAGAGAATGTAAATGTACGCAAAGGAGTCCGAGGTATTATACAATGTATACACTACACAACTGAATCATAGTAAACTAAAATTAAAAACTAATAACAATAAAATTCCACATTTCTACAACACACTAATTCAGATAAATTTTGAATTTGAACTTTCGTATTTATTCTTAGTAAAGTTGATCAAATCACAATTGAGTAAACAAATAAACCAAAACAGCTAAAAAAATTCAAAACTCAATGTGACAGAATTCGAAAAGTTTGCTTACCCTTTTCTTTTGCTTTTGCGGCATGATGTTAGCGCGAACAGGGTTAAGAGCAGCTTTAGCAGCGGAAATGGTATCGCTTTGGATCTGCATCAAAGTTCCTTTCTTCGATTTCTTATCCACCACCATTGGAACTGGGGCAGAGATAGTCGACGACGTAGTTGGAGGAGGGGGGGCAGTTGATGAAGCTGCAGTTAACGTCGCCGAGGATGCTAACGGCGACGTGTTGTCGGAAGTTATCAGATCCATCAGCGTCGTCCCCGACGAATCCTACACGCATTTCATCAGTAAAATTCGACCAAAAAGAACAAGCAGATTTAGCAACAAAATTAAACTTAATTCACGCCAGTAGGGGGAAAATCAATTACCGCCATGATTAGGGTTTTTGTGAGGACGTAGAAGCACGGATCAGACTGGTAATGGCGCTATGATTCTTTTTGTTTTGAAGGAAAATGGAGCGATCAGTGATGATGAATCAAGTTCCTTTGAATCCGGCCCGGTTCGTTGGTTCAAAAGTTTCAACAAATCCATTACTATTATGTACTCATACAAATTACCCAAAAACACCCTAATCTAAGACGTTTCCTCAATGGTCACCATAATGAAGATTGATTTGCATCTTTCTTCCCATACAGTTTGCCAAAAATTAATTTTTGCACAGTGAATTTAAATTTACTCTTCTTATAGTCTCATAAATTTTATGTGACAAGTTTTTTGTCTCAAAATACTATTCCCGCAACCTTTCTATTCGGGTCTAGGGACAATTTTGGTTCTTAATTTTTTCTTTTTTCTCGTTTTTCATAAACTAGAAATATATAAAATAATCAAAACTATTAGAAAATAATATTAAAAAAAAATTCGTAAATTTTTCAAAAATGTTTTATTATTTTTTCACCGACAACCCCATCACAGCCTATAATTTATTTTTTAACTTTTATCCTACCTTTATGCCTAATATTGATATAGGCTTGAAATTCTCTTTAAAATTTTGGAGAGCATCGGAATTCAAATGTTGACCAATATTTGATTCTTTATTCAAAAACTTCGCATACTAATTTTTTTAAAAAAAATTCTTTTCTATCATGTTTTCCTTTCTCCCTCGGTCAACCACCACAAATCTTTATCTTCCTCCTCCACCTCTTTGTCCACCCTCTATCGGTCACCACCACCAAATCCAAACTCCAAATGCACAATGAAATAAAATAAAAAAAAAAAAAAAACTGCTATTTCATGATCCTGATATGATAAGCATATTTGTGAATTTTTCTTTAGAGGCGATTGATTACGTAAAATAGCAAATAAAATTGAAAAATCTTTAAAATACAACATCAATTTTTAAGATTAGACCAGTGTAAGCCTATGTTCTTGTCGATGTACATCAAATAAGGTTTGACATGATGTTGAAATTTGATTGAATAGTTGGGTCAACAAGGAAATCGGAACAGAGAGCATTAGAGCAAAGAGAATTGAGATGGTTGGGGGTGAAATTGGTCCCTTGGGAAAATCATGGAAAGAATTGATCAAGAAAAACAGATTTGGGGATTGAAGATGCACTATGAATTTTGTCCTGTAAAGGGTTAATCATTTTGGAAGATAAGATCAGAAGGAATGTAACGAGATCAAGAAATAAAAAGCGGAGTTTTTAATTTTAATTTGAAGGAGAAGGAGTCAACTTTAATATTAGGGTTAAATCAAGGTAGAATATCACCAGAAAAAAAAAAAAAAAAAGATATTGGTTTAAGGCTCTCAGGTAAATGGGAGTTTTGAGAAAGGAAGAAATTTCAATATTTTTTTATTTTTGAATTTGTTGATATCTTTATGTAAACTTGAAAAGTAAATGTTATTGTAGTATGTAACAAAGCATTATGAGAGTGTTGAACAGATAGCGGGTAACGTAAGTTAAACTTTTGAAATTGTTTAAATTTTAAACTTCTTTTGACATTTTGGTGTTCAACCATCATAATAGAGTCCTGAGTTGGGAATTTTAAATATGAAATTCTTTTAGAAGAGATGAAAGAAAATAAACAACTCCTAGTTCAGTAAACATCAAATAACAGGTCTTTATTTCTATCAACTTACTATTCTTTAGAAAAATATAATAATTGTGACATAATTTATTACCACGAGCATGTTTTATTTCAATCAAATAATAATCTTTCTTTGTGCTAGTTAGCCAAATGAAATCACAACATGTGCTCAAACATACACCGTCATCTAATTATTTTAAATTAATTAATCAATACAAAAATGGTCAATTAACAATACATTGCATTAATCTATTAAATTAAATGATGCTAGATGATCTAAAGATAAATTAACTACTTATCGGTATCAACATTTCCTCATCATCTCCCCTGTACTGGATAACCTCATTATGGAAATTCATTAACAACTTCTCAGGATATGCTCAATTGTATGTTGAACATTTGATCAATCATATAAAAAGAGGAGGACGTTCTTAGACAGAGCCATCAACAATTTATATGTTCAAGCTAAATGATGATGCTACGGATCTAATCAGGTTTACGATCTTGTTATCCAATTTTATTACTCTGTATCTAACAATCACCTTCACATTCAACTACTCTTCTCCATCCCATCCCCATCCACCAGTATCATACATATCTCTTCATTTGTTGAATGAGGAGACGATAGATGTGATTGTTATTTGTTTTTGAATAATTCTCAGTGTTATTATATTGTATATGACCAGTAATACTCTACGCAAGCACCAAAGAACAACGATTAAAACATACATTTGCTATGAAGAACTGAAGTTTCACATTATAATCCTGATTCGAGTATCATAGACCGTAGCAAAACACATAATTATCCCTGATTCGAGCATCATAGACCGTAGCAAAACACATAATTAAACACATATGGAATAATACTTAATGAAACGACCATACGTTTCCTCATAGACATCCTTGTTCTCTTTGAATTCCTCTTAAAGCAGCTTATGTGCGTCTGCCAATTGTTTGGCACTTTCTTGATGTGCCGTTCTCTCCTTTCCAGATGTGATACAGCAGCTACCTCCTTCATCATGTTGTTCATCCTGTCAAGCAGTCCATAAAGGGAAGTCTTCAACATACACTCGTGACATTTCTTGCAATGGTCTGCAATATTGGCCTTCTTGTTCGATGTAAAGCGTCTGCAATGTGGGCAAACCTACAACAGCAGCAGGGAATAGATTTCATTATGAGACTTTACAAGAAATGGAAAATGCAAAAGACCATCAACCTTCACAGAATTCCTAAGTCATTTAAAATGTATATAAGACTGGTTAAGCCACCATTACAACATAGAAATGACAAAGAAAAAAAAATATTGTATATGACCAAGTCACAGATGCCAAGGATCAACAAACTCCACCTGTACAAACTCACACAACCATTCCAACTCCTTTCTTAGCACTTCAAGATTACTCCAGCTCTGAACAAATTGTAAGAATCCAAATCAAGGCAGAACCAAGGCCTCAAGTTGTTGGAAGACAAGTTGATGATAGTTGTGTTTGGTGGAAACATATAGCACTGCACGAGTAGGCTAGGATATAGTCGGTACTTACTTTTTTGTAAAGGATCTAGACTATCCTTAGCATCTCATTATTTTTATATTTCTGCAAGAAATAGAAATCATTTGGAACTAGAATCCAAAAATTTGTTTTACATTTTGAACAAAATCAAAAAAATTGTTATTAGTGCTAAATATATATATTATCTTTGAAGGTATACCAAAGTAATCCATTACCTTAAAAAAATTAGAACTGTACCTAAATTTTTTTTCTCAATTCAAAGATTGACTTAATTCTCTTACACATCAAACAAGAGTTCATATGGATATAAAAATATATCTCATAAATTGTACAATTTGACCTCATCATTAATATGAAACAAAACTTCAAAGCAAAAATCTAACCAATTTACAAGTAAAAACCACATGTTTTATTATATCATTTGACTATGCATGCACTACATACATAAGCATTTTAGTACTAGAAATGCTTTGCAATTAATATTATTTTAAATTGTTTAGCACAAACAATTCAAGAGTAATGATAAAAGCACAAAATCCGTATACCAACTATTGAACTTGACCAATATACTAAATTTATGGAAACGATCTTAACAACTTTTTCATGAATAAGATAATAAGAAACACACACACAAAAAAAAAAAAAAAAGGTTTCAATGCAACTTTGAATGGTAACATAAAAAACTAGACATGATATGCATAATAACTTGTGGGCTGCGACATCAGTAAAAATCAAAATTGATAAAAATTGTTCTACGAAAGTTAATTGAAATCAATACTAGTTTAAGAAGTAAAACGAAACAAAGCCTGATTGAAAAGTACACCAAAACGATTCCGGCAAAGCAAAAAAAAAAAATCAATTTTATTTTCTTAAACTTAAGCGATACCTTAAAACAACCAAATTACATCAACGAATCAATGACAGCAATTCTTAATCAACAGACAAAAGGCCCAAAATTGATCACCAAAACCAAAATTTTAAAAGCATGAATTGCTTATAACAAAACAAAACCTTCTCATTAAATTGGTAAATTGTGATAACTGAAATTGTAAGTCAACATCTCCCAATTGATAAATGAATTTATGAATCAAAATAAATTTTCCAAAGACCAAACCTGAAACCAAACTAAATCAAAATTAATTTCCAAAAATGAAATGAAAGACCTAAAGTTTGAACGCCTTAATACGAACGAATTCGAGCCTAAATAATTAATTTAATTGCAGAAGAAAATAATCAAATATCTCAGTAATTGATGTTCAACAAGCTCTGATATTACTTGTTAGATTAGATCCAAATATTTTAAACTTCCACATCAAATTATCGATAGCTGAACAAACGCTGAAGCGTAACTCAATCTGTAGTGCAAGAATATTGATCCAGGTTTGATCTTACAAATGATTCCATCAACCCTTTAGAGAAAGTGTGAATTCTCAATTACCAAAAAATGGGGAGTCCGTAATTAGGCAAGACTATTCATGTAATCTTTTTTGAAAATCTAATTCTTTGAGAACATCTCCATCCACGTTTTAAAAGAAATAAAAAATATGTCAAAACTTAATACTCATCTCTTAAAAGCACACACACTGTCATCTTAGTATTTTAAATTAATTAAACAATTCAATATCAGTTAATTTGTATGTATTGCATCAATAAATTAGTAATATATCTCTGTATGTATTAAACGAGAGTTTTCAATCGGACATATAGCGTAAAATTAGACAAGGTAATCCACATGACGAAAAATTAGATGGCCAAGTCCAAATGTCGCAACCACATCACTCCATCATTTAATAATAATTTTTATTTGTAAATCTGTAAAATTTAATAAATTAAGAATCAATTTTACCTGGTTAAATTTTTTTTTGTTATTAACCATGCAAATTCATAAATAATATTTTTGTTTAGAAGAGTAACGAGCTCTTCATCGTCATGACATTATTATTAGGGAAAATTCTTATTAAGAGTGCTCCAAGTTTAATAATTCTTTAAAAAGGTATAAAACTTTTAGAATTCCCCTTAAGGACGTTACAATTATTTAAGATGCAAAAATCATAGTTCATGACAATTCTAACCTCCCATTGAAGTTATTAAAGA